TGCTGCCTTAATAAGCATATTTCAGTAAGCACAAACAGGCTTTACAGGAGTGCTCTGTTCCCAGCTGTGCTGTTTCCAGTAGTTCCCCTTCCCCTTCCAGGTGGGGTGTAGAGAAGATCCACCTTTCTGGCACCCTCACATGCAAACAGGCCCCTGCCACCAGTGAGGTTTGGCGGGTGGCATTCTGCTCTGATAAAAAGACCCTGCTCATAGCAGAGAGCTCTGTGTGCGTCACTGAAGCTATTTCAGTCTTTGCTGCCTCCTGAGCTGCATGTAAGCCGGCATCGGTGACTCTCTGCTCAAATATGATTTCGTAAAAGGAAGTAGGAAGCATGACTTTCAAGCTGTGTGTGAAGATGAGCTAAAATAGTAACAGAAGTCTCTCTAGAGAGTATGAGAAGACCAAAAAAAATCTTTCTTAAGCATACCTATTGTTAAGAAAAATCAGTCTGGCAGGATCTGTTTTGTACCAGCTTAATGTGTTAACTGTTCCTTCTTTTCTTTAACGTTTAGGGCTGGCATTCCAGTAGCATAGCTACTAGCTACTTAGATACTAGGTAGCTGAAAAGAGTGAGGAAAAACTTCCTCTGCTGATTTCGCCCCTGAGTCTGGGTCATTAGGAGGATCAGACCTGTGCTTGGAGAGCCCACCTTCCACATCGTGTCCTTGCAGCCTGCCCGGAGGGTGCAAGCTGCAAGGTTAGCAATGGCAGTACTCGGTCTGAGGGAGCCTGTCTTTGCTGGGATTTCTAATGGGAGGGTGTGCATTAGGGCCAGACACCAGCGGCTTTGATTGCTGGCTGGCAGTTTGGTGAGGTGGCCTCTTTGAGGGTGGCAGGACAGCCTTTAATGGCCAGCCATATTTCCAGGTATTTTTGGGAAATAGAGAGTAAAGTACGCTCAGATCAAATCACTGAGACAGATCCTGAGAAATTTTGCTGTTTGGCTTCAGAACTAATATTCTGTTTGACCTCTTGTCTCTCAGATAGACCTAGAGAGATTCCTGACATCAAGTGCCATATGGATTTGAAACGGCCTGAATCTCATTGTGCCATTGGTGTACCCATCTTATTAACTAAAATTTGAATGTCTTCTTTTCTCCTAGTGTATTTCTCTTTTTCACAATTACTTATCTGTAGTTTTTTTAATCAGCAAACTTGAATTTTCTGTTCTTTGTTTAAACTGCCTTTATCAAGGTATGTATTTCATAACATCGTATACTTCTTTAAAATAATCAAAAGAATTGCTCAAAAAATCTGGTAATTTGGAAAAACAACTAGATTTTAAACTTCTTCTGCTTTATATAGTTGATTTTCAGTCATCAACAGAGTAAAGCAAAGTAACAGATGTTACTAGGTGATCACCTTGTTACTGGTTTTTATCCTATGTGGGGTATTAACATTGCTTATGACACAAACAGAAAGTGTGGGCTGCTCTCTGCGTATTATGCTACATGTAGGTCATTATTTGATGTATTTACTCCCTACCAAGAGTATTAATGAAAAGTTCAAGAATAGTATCATCTTACCTATTCTGAAAAATATTGTCTATTATTTTAAGCTTTGATGAGTACAGACCTGACAGTGTTTTAGAGAGACCCATTACCCATTCATTACTCAAGAGAAAAATAATTTCTTGCTTTCAGGGTATATTTACAGGCATCCATAAAACAAGTGTATGATGAATGATGTGTAGCATAAAGTATAAATAGTGAGGGAGGAGACTTGCTTTGAGACAAATTCTCTGAACTTGAATACAAATGCCAACTTTGACAAACACTTCATCAAAATAATAGTTGAAGTCATTTTCTGAGTCAGTTCTTGACTTAGTATTATCTTCATAATAGATATGTTCCAATTTGGAGTCCATTTTCATGTAAACTAAGGTAAATACAGTGCAATTCTGCTCTCAGCTATAAAGTGAGAAGTGAGAATGGATCAGAGGCAACAGATCCTTGTCACCTAGAGTTGAAGAAAGCAAAGGCTGCTTTAACTCCTGCTTGCATTTCTTCAACCCTAAGGTTGGTGTTTCATGTAGGACAGTCTCAGGGGTAAGCAAAAGTAGTTTGGAGAATGCTCTGATCTGTTTTTCTATTTTCTGGTGGTGGGTGGGGAATAGATATACCTTGATTATCCCCCTTTTATCAAGCAGTGTTCCCAAAATCAGTGGCCATGAGGGAGGTGACCTGTTCTGTGAGCAAATTCTGTGTCAGAAAATTTGCCTGCTTTGATAGGATCCCCAGGGACTGCACTCACTAGGTTTATGGCATGGCATAGGAAATAGCTACAGAAAAAAAAAAGTGATTCCTAACATGTTTTAAGTATACTACTAGAAAACAGATTCTATTATTTTGCCCTGCTTTGGGTGAAATGTTCAGCCAAGTAGGTGTAAGTAATACTTTTTTAAAGTATTGCCTGAGAAAACTATTGTGCAAATGCTGGTTCAAGTATTAAATGTGTATTATTCATAAAACACGAGTGAGAGAATATAAAAAACAGGCCATTGTACCACAAATAGTATTGACTTAGTAGTGAGGGAATATATGAAGTTGTATAAAGTGAATGTAGCTTGCGAACTGAAAAGAAGAAATAAGGGGAAGAAAAAAAAAAAAAAAAACAGGTCTCCCTAATGCCTCTTTAATTCCCACTTTATCTTAAGTCCATTACCAAAAGTCTAGAGCCAAAGTTTCTCTTCAGCATGAGTGAATATAGTTTTGCTGGTTTATATTTTGAGTTTAAATCAGAATTAGTACATGGTTTACGAAGAAACCCAAACTGGAGTGCGTTACTTTCTGCCCTAGTGGTACAGATTATGTTCAGAGACAAGTTACTTTTCTCCTTGTGGAGTTGCTTTGTCTGTTGAATGATGTGGTTTTGTAGGAAAAGAAATGAAAATAAGGTGGAAATGTTGACTCTGAAATTTTTCAAGATACACTGTTACCCTTAGGAGAGATAAAATTGAAAATTTTTTAAAATCTGGGAGCATCCGTCCTTGTAGTTCAGACTACGGATTACCTGAGTGCTAAACTGCTATCACATTTTCATGGGGATTTACAGAATGAACAGAAAGTGCTTAAGTGTTTTGAGCCAGTCTAATTTTAGAACTCTAGCATATGTAAGCAAATGCTAGATATATTTAAAAATATGTATATGTTTAAATTAAGAGGTTTTTTTTGGCATAAGGTTATTTGAACTTCCTAGAAAGGTATAGAATTACATAACAACTAGATCTTTTGCTTCAGGCCTATAGTTCAAGAAAAGAAATCTACTCAATTTTATAGTTCTGTAGAACTTTTAAGATAATAACAATGTGAATATGCTAGTCATTAGCTTTTGTATTTTCAAATGTCCATTGTGATTAATTATGTGGCTAATATAATGGCAACTGTCTCCCTTTCTGCCACTATATCAGAGTATCTAAATCATACTGTGTCTGTATATATCTGTACTGAAAGTAGCTAAAAATTCTGCCTTTTTCTTAAAAAAAAAAAAAAAGAAAAAAAATCTGTTCAGCAATCCATAGTGATTGTTTCACTAACATTAAATTAAAGAAGATTTTTATCTCATACTTTTTTTTTATTATTATTAAGGAAGTTTGAAGTTTTAGGGTTTCCTTTTCTTTTTCTTGCATAGTCAAGTGTTGCTCTCTCATAGGAAATTTTAGATTACTTTTGAGAACTATGTCAAGGACATTGCTGAAGTTTGTTGTGATGCAGAGGATGGCATGAAGTGTTTCATCAGCCTAGAGTCCTTTATCCACTGCTGCTATTCATAGTAGGTCAAAATACTCCAAACTTCTTTTATATGAGAGAATTAAAATCTTTGAGAATGGATAAGCAAGAATGTTATCTCACCTATTTGTTTGGAAAACATTGTAATATCTTGGGGCTAAATACTAGAAAAGATTTTGAACTCTTGGGATGAATTATTTTAAAATTTGGGAGACAAACAGGCAGTAGGTAACAACGATAGCATTCATGACATTGTTTGTAAGAGGGCACCAAGAAGGAAATAAATGACTGATAAGTAAAATCACAGGTCAGGAAAAACAGATCAAGTAAGAAATATTTGGAGAAAATATGGAAGAAGTAGTTGGTACAGTATAAGTGCTGGGTGAAGTGTCTGAACAATAACCTTACAACACACAAATGCCAAATTCAGAGTTTTAAATTATTTCCGTGTGCTTTTTTGAATGTGTGTTTTCACAAGAAATATACTGCTGCCCTGTTTGATTTGTCTCCTTACCAGGAATTCTTAAAATATTAGGGAAGGATACTAAGTTATAATACATGATAGAAAGACAAAGAGAGAACCATTTTCAGCTCTGTCTGGCTCTATGTGGTTTGCTATTTGTAACTCATAGCAAATGTGGCGACTTGGGAAATTTATTTGTACTTGTTGCTGATGTAGAAAGTTGTGATTTGTTATGCCTGTAAGCTGTCTTGGGCTGGTAAAAGTGTTACTCCTGTGTATAGGCAGAAAGAAATCCAAATACTATCCCAAGGTGAACAGTTTGACTACAGGAAGTGCCACAGAATATGTGAAGATGGGCTAAGTCTGCTCTTGTTAACTGCCGTGACACCTTTGGAAAAGTGTCTCCAAGAAGATGCATCGTGCTTTCTGGGAAAAAAAAAGTATTGGGAAGTTGTGCTCTGCAGATCTGTTTTTAAACTGTAAATGTTTTCAATATATAACTTGTCTTCTGTAGTAGTAAAAACTTGTGGAATTACCACATGTAGGGATTATTTTAGCCATTTCAGATTTTTAACTCAGGTGACTGACATATTCTGCTTTTGAAAATCTCCAAGCTAGTCATCTATGGCTTCTAAACATTAAGATGGAGAGTTGGGGAATGTGTAACGGAATAATTATAGCCAGATTTTGCAACCTTAAATCTATTCAATTATATTTAATTTTTAAATCTGCTGAATGCCTTCCAGTACCTGGTATGAGTTTCAGTCTTTAAAGCTCTTCTTACCCAATCTTTCTAAAATTTCTCCAGATTCTGGCAGAAGAACAAGCTGAAAGTGTTGTATGCTATGGAATAAAGGTTGTTTGGATATATTCTGGTTACATCACCAAAGAAAAAGGCAGTGCTCAAGGTGTAGGTTGGGCTGAGCTGAACAGCAGGCTTAACTGCCTGCTTAATCCATACCTCTGCAGAAAGGTTTTCCTAGTGACCCTAGGGAGGAAAAGGTCTGCAGGAGCCTGACAGAGTGGGTACACAACATATATTGGCAAAGAATACATTTAACATGGCCTTTGCTCTCTTTCCACAATGTTCTGTGATTTTAGGTGCTTCAGGTTATGTATACCCTTAGTTTCTGGTAACTTTTGAAGACTTTGACCTTCAGAATGAGTATGATGTGCGTTCACAAGCTTTACTGATGATTCAGTTGCTTTGGAACAAAATGTCAGCCGTTTTTCTCAAGTGAATTTGCCTTTATGTTGTCAACAAATATTTTGAGAATAACAGTCAGTGTGTTTGCAGGGTTCTCTGTCATTTTTATGTTTTTAAAAAGATAGCTTGCAGAAATCATACCTTGTATGCACGAGTATTTGTGTGCATGTTTGTGAGAGAAATCTTCACGCTATTAATTCTTTTGCTTTGCAGACAAAACCTGTTGCCTTTGCAGTTCGGACAAATGTTGGCTACAGCGCAGCTCATGATGATGATGTTCCGGTCCCAGGCATGGCCATCTCGTTTGAAGCTAAAGATTTTCTTCATGTTAAAGAAGTAAGTAAAATTAAAAGCATAAGTGAAACTTTCTTTAGCGGCCACCACACTTACTCTTTGGGTGAAAGAAGTGCTGTTGCTTTTTAATCATTAAGATAACACCTCGTATTGTCGAAGTGCTATACAAATGTTCTATAGATAACTGTGTATAAGGAATTGCATGTTCCCTGAAATAGTATTCTCAGTACAAGCAATGGCATAAATTCCTTACAGTCAAATTATCACTTACCTCAAGATTTTAAAATCTATACCTGCATATTCAGTTATATATTATCTGTGGGTTTCACCATTCTAAAAACTCTAAGAGTTTCACTGTGTTTCAGCAGTGTACTCTATCTATCTCCCTCAAAAAAAAAAAAAAGACTCAATATCTTCAGGCCTCCTTTTTCCCTTAAGTTTCCCTGAAGCATGTAATATTTTATTATTAACAATTACATGTTGAGAAGTAAACTTGGTAAGTTTAAGGATGAACATAGCAACTGTCTGAAAAGGCATTTATCAGTGTTTGCTACATTTCTTCCCCTCTAGTTTCACTTGGAAAAAAAAATCACAGAGCTTCAAATACATAAACCCTCACTCCAGCTCTTCCTTGGAAGACAGTCCAAAGCAAGTAATGTGGGTCACTTCCATGCCAGCCTTCCTGAGCAGCCTGCTGCTCTCTTATGAGTGATTCCCTCATTTTAGGAGTTTTCCTGGTTTCTTGTCTTCTGTTCTGCTTTGTCCCAAAATGGTTCATCCGGAAATGGCGATCTATAGAGGAAGAGCTAGAAAGTCAGTATAAAGGGACTGGAACAACTCATACACTTGAAATTACATCTTTTTCCCATTTTAAGTCATGTTATTTTTGATTGTTGTATAAAAAAGAGCCTTCATTGTTCTGATCAATGAAGTCTACTAGTGTTGAGTCATTAGGTATTTCCTTTAAAAAGGTAAAAATGCAGATGGGCAGAAACTAAGTAAGCACAAGAAATGGACTTTTAGTACCTTTATGTTGATGATTAATAGTTTTTTTCAATATGTGTAAACACACAAAAAGCTAATAATTTGGATTCAAACTCTATACAGTGAAGAAAATACCATTCAGATTTAATAGTGATTAAGAATTGATCTGCTTTGTATTGTGCAGATAGGGGTGCTCAGGCATACAGTCCTGGCAAAAAAAAACCCTGTGTTCTTTGGTGAATCTGGAAGCACTGAACAATATAGCTCAGTTTGGTTATATTAAGGGGTTTTGCTAGGCTCAGCTCCATTTTAAACAAGCTGATAATTTCAGACTTTGTATGAAGTTTTACACCTGTTTTCATATGAGCTTTAAACACTTATTTTCTAATAAAATTTGTGTTTTTTTTTCCCTCTTCTACTTAGACTAAGGTGTAGAAATGCACAGAAGATACTAAGGAGGAAAAAGGATCCTGAATTGTTCTGAATCTTCAGAAGTGTTTTCAATATGAAACTTAGCTCAGCTGAGTTGTTATTTTGTCTGTGATTCTGTGTAGTGCTAGGGAATGCAAAGCAAAACCAAAATCTTTTATTTATGCAGCATGCATTCTTTATGCGGAGTAGGGCAGGTGTTCTACACTAATTGTTTTAAAAAATACATTTTTATTTCCAAGCAGTTGAGGCACAGATGAATTCCTAGCAGTGCCAGGTGCCGTTGGTGGGTTCCTGGTGTCGGTGCAGAGGGGAGTTAGGCAGAGTGAGCAGCGGGACAGGAGCTGCAGGACAGAGGACAGAGGCAGCCGACGGGCAGCTCCGCTGGGTTTGGAGTGGTGGCTCCTGGCTATTCCTGGGCAGGCACAACCTCTTCAGGAGGGTCCCTGGGGCGGTGGCTGTCCCTGTGTACCCTGATCCTCCCATCTGTGGCTGCCTCAGTCTGCTGTGATGCCCTAGGGCTCTCTAACTGACCAAGTAGGCAATCTCATCTCGCAGACATTGCTCCGTCAGTATTTCTGGTGCTCTCTAATGGGAGAACTGAAATTTCCAAAATGCAATCCATTATGCAGGTTAAAAGTAAAAAATCGTGATTGACTGTGATATTCCACATTGTTTTTCCATTGTTTTGGGTTAACAACCAAATATAACCTCCAGTAATGTATGCCCACGCGATAATGCCGTATTGGATCAATGCTGTCCTTGTCTGTGGGGACAGTTTGCTGATTTGTGCTGCTCTGAGAGCTCAAGCAAGAAAAAAATTGATTCAAAATGTGCATGGCCAATGATGAAGCGTGCTGTAATGATCAAGTAAGAGGGAAATTTGTCTTCATTACTAGGTTAAATTCATTAAGATTCAGTACATACAAAGATGAAGGATCCTTTCCTGCATGAAGAAACATATACTGCATCATTTGTGAATCTTTCAGGATTTTAATGCATGTCCGTAGTTCTGCCTTGCAATTAATTTCTAATTGTGTTCTTGTGTTTAACTTGGCACTCCAAGCAAAAATGTCTTTAAAAAGAATCCCTCACGCCATCCCACAGCTCTAAAATTTGGACACATCTTGCTACCCAGATTTCTGCTAAGGTTTTGAAAATCAGGAAATGATATGTATGGTATTATTTTATGAGTAAAATTCCCATTCTCATTTTCATATATTGATGCAGCCTTGGTAATAAGCTTTGGTACTTCTCAGGAGTAAATTCCATGGCTTTTTTTTTTTTTTTTTTGGAATGAAGACAAATTTCCTTTGGGCTTAGTATTCTTACCAAATAAGAATCAATTAAAATCAGTTTTGATGAGTATCAATCTGTTGTACTATAGGACAATATAAGAAATAATGGTTGTTCAGATTTTAATTTATTGATGGTTTTTAATTAGCTATCTCTTCCTTTTATCAAGCTAAATAAGTGTTTTGTAAACTTCACTTATAACAGAGAGCAGATATATAATGGCAGCTTCCATTTACATTTATATTTTAAATTTATATAAATAACTTTAGTTCATATTTTGTTAAAAAGGGTTAAGATTTTAAGATATTTGAATCAAACACAATTTACTCTTTCGGAGTTGCTTTCTATTAGAGGTAATAGTTGTTGCTATTCTCACTCATAAAGACGGGAGCTGACTGCATGGAAGAGATGTGATGCAGCCAATTATATTTCATGAAATTAAAATTGTTTGTTTTAATCTTTTTAGCTAAATATCTTAAAATTTACTTCAAGCATAGCAACATTTCTATAGTAGCCAAAATGAAAGATAATACTATAATTTAAGTTGCATATCATTGATCCACTGACTATGTATTCTTAGTGAAATTAATTCCCTTTTATTGTTTCTACTCCTACAGTAGTTAAAATTGCTAATTAAATAATTCAGTTATGTTTTTTTATTTTTTTTGTTCATCTATTCAGATTCAAGAAGGCAACTTTGCTCTGAATGCAAATGTTCCTTTGCAGTTTAATAAATTATCTGCATTATACAAAAAAAAATGTATTTGGTAGTTGTCCCATGGAACCCATATTCTAGGCCAAGATTGATGTAGTAAATAATATTGAAAAAAAAAACTCACCCTTCCAGATAAAACACAATCAATTCTGCTATGCCGACCTGTGCCAAACAACAATAAAAAACCTAGAATATGGTCAGAATGAATCTCAAATATCTGTATATCTGGAATTAATTGAAATATCTTGTATATTTGTAAATTTGGATGTTTTTCATTGTCTAAAGATATCCATTCCTTATGGATCTATCAGTATATGGTAAAAATCGTATGGATTATATGAGCTGTATGTAGTAAAACATATATTAAACTTGGAATGAAGTCTGTATTTTGGAACAGATTAGTTAATTTGGAGAAACTGGACACTTTAAGAAGTAATATTTTTATTTTAAATAGCTAGCTGAATATAAAGGAATAAGAGAAAGAGATTGTTACAGAGATGTGAAAACTATTGCAGAGGATAGGAAAAAAAAACTGAGCAGAGTCTCTTTGTCCACTAAGGAGAAACAACACAGGAGAACAAAATCATGTCTAGTGTGTGAAAAGTCAAGACTGCAAAGCAGAAAGGAATAAAGTTGAAATGAGCTTCTGCTCATAACAGGGAAAATCATGAAGTCTTTGAGGGAGAGTTTTCTGCTTAAGTACTGTCAAATTTTAATAGCTTGCAAGGTATAATTATTTTAATATATTTCTGAAAACTACCAGGATTCTTCATTTCCATAATTGTATAGTACAGTGGCTAACTGCAGGGAAGGAATTACATAAAATGAATTAGCTTCAAATTAAAAATAATAACAGAGTGATCTAAAATTCAATAATTACTTAGTACATGACTTCTTTTTTTCTTTTTTTTTTCTTTAGAAATTTAATAATGACTGGTGGATAGGACGGTTGGTAAAAGAAGGCTGTGAAATAGGATTCATACCAAGCCCGGTCAAACTAGAAAACATGAGGCTGCAGCATGAACAAAAGGCAAAACAAGGAAAATTCTACTCCAGGTAATAACAACAAATATTTAAAAACAGCAACATTGACTATGACGTGCAATTTGGACATCAGTGCTATGTGTATTATAATTACGTTGAATTATTATAATTGGCAGCTACAAATACTTTGAATAATGTAAGGAAGTAGTATTCGTTTATATTATTGATAATGCCACAGCCATTAGAGAGAGAAAGGAGATATTTAGATCAATTGTCTGCTGTAGTCTATGGTACCTTTTATTTCATGCAAGTTGCATGAAGTATTTGCAATTACACATTCCAGGTGGTACATTTAGTATCTGCTAGCAAAATTTTGAGTTAAAATCAGTCTCCTTAAATTCTTTAGCATTTGTTACTTGCTTTCACTAGTTAACTCTTAAAGCTCATCTTGCAATTTACAGAAAACATTAAGTTCAATTTGTTCATAAACTAAAGCCATTTCCAGTTAGGAAAAATATTTTGGTCTGTCAAATTGATCGTCTGCAAATACAATTTTTAAGATAACCAGATTTTATGCTGGAGGTTCAATGCGTGGTCATTTGTTGACCCTCTCTCCATAAAGATACAGTACAAAGTTTCAAGATGTGATCTTTGTTGTAGAATATTTCATAGAGTATTTTTTCTTTCCAGTAAACGTTAACACACAGGAGAACAAATGCCACTTATTCATCTTTGGCTATAGAGGAAACTGAAATATATCTAGAATATCTGAGTGGGATGGAGCTGGAATTGAGAAAACAGCTTGGAAAGGCTCTGCTTCAATAAGAAAGGCAGCAATATTTGAAAAATGTGTCTGTGCTAGGAGACTAGTGCCCAGGCTGGTCCCCAGCTGCCTTTGCTCACTGCGAAATGCCTGTCAAGTCTACTCGCAGTCACACAGTCACAGGACACCTCTGTGCACCTCTGGCGACTCCTGTGAACGCAGCCACAGCTGACCCAGTATCCATCCCTTCCCGGAATTTAAATTCTTCTCCAGAATTTCTCACACTGTCCTACACAAATGCCTTTACTCAGTGAATATTTGTGAATATTTGAATTTTGAATATTTTCACAAAGCAGAACTTGACAAAAGCCTAGATTGTTTTATTTACTCTTGTCAAGAGTTCCTTCTTGTAAGTGCTACCTTGAAGTAAGAAAACAAATTTGTACCTAATTTATTTAAATTTTTACCTAATTTAAAGTATGCAGAAGATGTTAGGCAGGTATGTTAGGAAACATATGTTCACTACATTAAGAATTAATCATACTAATTAGTAGTAGCATTAATAACTATCTATTCATAGCCATATCAATAACTGGTCCACATTAAGATCATAAAGTGTTAAGAGCATACATAACAGAATCAGATTGCATAGCAGAACAAGAAAACTGACTGATGTCTTCATTTCCTCAGTCTTCAAAATGTATATATATTTTGTGTAATTTTTTATCGCTGCTGGAAATATTGCTTGTCTATCTGCTATCAGCTTATTTAGAAGGCAGGTAGTAAATATGCTAGAACAAATATTGAGAAAGCTATAAATCTTCAAACTAATTTGTTGCCTTACTCCAGTAAATCAGGAGGAAACTCATCATCCAGTTTGGGTGACATAGTTCCTAGTTCCAGAAAATCGACGCCTCCATCATCTGGAGGGTACATCACAAAGCCTTAGACAGCATTTTACGGAATCATGCACCTGATCTATTAGAATTTATATTACGTTTAGTCATATTTTTCTTCTGTTCTATAGGCATAAGGGTGGGTAGTTGTGCTGCTGATTGAGGCGGGTAAGATTGGAAGTAATGGAGTTAATGCCAGCTAGTGCATGCAGTCCAAGGCCCTCACTTCCCTCCTTGTTTTCACCACGGTGTTTTGTGTGAAGACATAGAAAAGCAGTGAGTCTGTCTTGCAGCGAGGTGGTTAGTTAGAGGTTTGGTCTGAGCACTCCTGCTGCGTCAGAAGTGCCTTCTGGTTTAGCAGAAAAAGCAGCAATAGCATCATAGGAATTTCTGTGAGGTTTCTGCAGTAGCACCAGCAGCTGCATTGTTTTATAACAGCAGCTTTCGGGCACAGAGTTCTGATAATGACAATGTGCTTCATATGATTTTAGCATACTGGATTTTTGTTGTCGTTGTTGCAATGTTTTGTTTTTATACTGGATTTTTGTTGTTGTTGTTGTTGCAGTGTTTTGTTTTCTTGTGTTTTTCTTCACAAATATTGATTTGTATTCAGAGCATCCACAGACAGATTTTTAGCTTTAGCTGGGTTAGATTTAAGGGGTGAGAAGAGAATAACTGTGAGTTGGAATAGGTGGTTTAAATGGAACCAACTTTCTGATAAACAAATCAGAATTATAATAGTTCCACTTCAATTCCTGCCATTTTAATTGGAAAATATATTTTTATTTACTCATATGTGTCTAGATTCAGTACAAATCTGTGGAACATGCTTTAATCCTTTGTTTTACATGATCTTAAATTGTCATATTTACTGTTAAGTCCAGTGTAAGACCCCTGCTTCAGTCACTGCATTTTCAGAGTCGAAGGTGCCCATGGAACCATTTCATAGTTAGAATTTCATAGTTAGAGATTTCATCAATGAGTTTCTGTAATACTATAATACTCTTTGTTTGCAAAAACCCACTTCTATAGCAGAATAACTCATATATGTGAAATTTTACAGAATGTTACACAGAATTTCGAGGTAAGAGAATTGACCAATTGACTAATTTTAGATGTAACACAAAAGATAAGTCTGTCTGCTCAGCAAAAACACATCTGTTTACATGCTGTTTATATGCTAGTGATGCTGCAAATTTCCTTGCATTGAGTTGTTTCTTTCAGTGGTGGCTTGCAGAAGTGTGATTTCCTGGAGATTAACATACTGAAATTACTCAGTTACATGGAAGTTTTGGAAAATATTTATGATTAATGTGTTTTAGTTTATTGTACAATTGTAAAATTTTGTTTAGTGGTTTCTTATTTACATATCTTAAAACATGCCGAGAAGAGGAATTGGGTGAATGGGTTATAATTTGTTACTAATTTGTGCCTGTGTATGCAAGCTTGCTTAACTTCTGAGTAGAGTTCAGTTCTGACCTGCAACATTTCTGCTATTTCCAGGCTTCCCCCTTGGGAAAACATAATAAATGGCAAATACATCAATTATTTAATAAGCTGAATAGGTAGGAACTGGAGTAAGTCAGTTTCTTTTATTTTTTTTTTTTGACTTGAGTCTGGGCTTTTGTTTTTCAACAAGATCTAACAAGATGGAGAATTACTAAAAAGGAAAAGGAAGGGAGACACTTTGTCATTAAAGTGGTTTGTAGTAATCAATCCAGACAGTCCTCATGTACCATCGAATAGGATGAGGATGATAAGCAGAATGTCTTGGGGGTGAGAGGAAAAACACTGTCATAGTAATTAAGAGTAAAAAGCAATTATAGAAGATACTATGTTGTGAGAAGACTGAGAATGAAAAAGAAGATGGGAAAATCCAGAAAATCTCAAAATTACAAATATGAGCTAAGAAGATATTTTTTTCCACTTAAAATATATCACCTAAAAATAATAACAAGTATCAAAACAGTAATTCCAAAGTTTTGTTACATGAAAATAGAGAGTTTCATGGATGAGCTGGATGAATTTCCAAAATCCATGAGATTTTGGAGATTTCGGGCTATAATTTCATCCATATTTTGCAGTGCCTCTTCTTTTTTGACATTTAAAGGGACTTTCATGGTATTTCTAGGTTTGAAATGGTTTACTGCAGTTGCTTCTGCAGTGATGATAGCATATTGAACTGTATGGTGTCTAGCTGATCAAACGCTGCTTTTTTATTTTACAGGAAGATTTAACAATTCCCATTTTCTTTGCAGCTGGTTTTAGTTGAACATAGAATCAAAGAAGCCTTAATATACCTTATTATGGGTAATTTGTAAAGTATCTGTTCCAGGCTGTTTTCAGCAAAGGACAGTATGTTCTTTTTATTCTTATAAAGATAATGAAGGATCTGTATTGCTAGGAGAAAATATTACATGTTTTCTGTGGCTGTTTTTAGGAGGAAGAATACAGAGTCGGGGGTGGAACTGTTCACGTGGTTTCCTGGCAAGGTCAACTTAAAAATGAGCGTTCTGGGGCTAAACTGCTGTTGGGGATCACAGAATTGCCCTTGTAGACAATGAAATGGGAAAATACACATTACTCAAACAGAAGGGACAGTGTCCCAAGCCACCACTCAATCAGTAGTTGCACTTAGACTTGTGATGCCCATATGTATATGTTGCATAATTTATTAGCACATGCTGCGGAATTCACTGATGTCCCACTCATCAAGCAGCTGAGAGCGGGTCACTCAGCTGGTTTCATAATAGTTTGTCATGATTTATTATGGTTTTAGGTGAAGTCGTTGCAGATCTTGCTGTTTGCAGCTCTCTGCTCAGGGCTGGAGTCGGTTCAGCGTGGTGGCTCTGCAAGATAGAGCTAAGCCTGCGTTGCTGGTGCGCGTTGAGAGCTGGCTAAGACCTTGATGCACTAGGGAGATGCTGTACAGCAAGGTCGTGGATTGCTCTTGTGTACATAGCTGTTGTCATGCTAGGATAATCTTTGAAGACAGATTTAATCCTGTAGTTAAGATCAGTTAATTGAAAGTGCTCCTGGAAGAGCCTCAGCTTTCGTTTCAGGTGTAGTTAGCAGGTATCTGATGGACTTTACCCTCAGCATGATGTGGCTTTGCATTTTGGAAATAAGTTTGTCTCCAAATCCATGATGATTTTTCCTTATACTGTCATTGTTTTGACTTGGTGAAGAGGATGTTTATGGTGCAAACTTTGTGTGCTGTACATGACTCTCCTTTGGGGTAGATGGTGAAGAGCAATGGTTTGTTGTGTTCGCTTCCACTTTGCCCTGCCTGCATCCTCATGCTCTTTACAACAGATTTCAAGTCTCTGTGATACCTGAGCTAAGTTTTCCCTTTTCCCTTTTCCACCCATTCTTTGTAGTTTTCACTGTCAGTAGATCTGTTTTTATTATTTCAAATAAATATATCTTACATCTGCTCTGCATTTTTAGGTGAAATGATTTAAAGGCAGTTGTAATCTGCCCTAAGATAAATGTAGATATCACACAACCAGTCTTAGGTGAATTTTACCTCCTAGCGTGATTGTTTTTCTGTTTTTATTTTGTTTTGTTTTGTTGTTGTTTCTTTTTTAATTTTCTAAAGATGCACGACTGACATTGCAAATTTCTGTTGATGATACAGATTTTTAATTACTACATATCGCTGTTAAATAATTCATATTTAGTTAGCCAAATTCTGTTGTTCTGCATTGATGAATGTCTTGAGTACTCCAGTGAAGTAACTTTGGATTTAAACTAGTGTAACAAAAAGAACTTGGCCACTGATCTGTTTTGTAAGAGTAATTCTTTATATGTCTCATTTATTCCATAAAAGAGGATCAGAGGAAAATGCTACAGTAGCTGTTACAGGTTGCTTTATGTATTCTAATCCTAATGTACTGCACCTTAAATTTTTCCCCTTGTTTTATTGTGTTTTGTACTCATGGTTGTCTCTTTTTTTTTTTTTTTTCTTTGTACTCTGGACGGCTTTATTTTTCTTTACCTTTTTTTTTCTTTCTTTTTAATCAGTTTTTTATTTTCGCTGTCAGCTGATAATTCTAAATTGTTTGTCTGTATATAGCTATAGACATAGATGCCACTGGCTTAGATGCAGAAGAAAATGATATTCCAGCAAACCATCGCTCCCCCAAACCCAGTGCAAACAGTGTAACATCACCCCACTCCAAAGAGAAAAGAATGCCCTTCTTTAAGAAGGTAACAGCAACTTCCAAGCTCCCATCTGTCCACCTGCTCACCTGCACTGCGTCACATTTCTAGTCCTGTTGACTGTCTGCGTCCTTTGACAAGCCAATAACATGCATGCTTTGTTATTCTTTGTTTCTTTTCCATGCTGCTGTAGCTAAGCAGAAGCAGAAATCGGTAAGTTTATATTGACATTACCTGTGTTTATCCCGCCACTGGCATCATTAGCATTGTTACCCCAGATTAGCAATGCAGCTGCTTTGGAATTAAGGAAGAAATGTATCAAGCTGTTAGTGGATCCAGTACACTAAAACAAAGAGAGCCAAGTTCAGTACCTCCCTGAAACACTGCTACAGTAATTATCCTTTTTGATGGAATAGGAGGACACACTAAGAAGGTCTTCTAAATGTTTGAGGAATTTATTTCTAACAAATCCATGCAGTGCACCTCTATAGTGCATGCTTATTCTTTCCATCCCTGTGTTTTTGAAGTTTCTTTGTTTATAATGCAGTCTATTGGCATCGTTGTTGGAATCTAATCAGATACTTGGATTGTACTGCAAAACGAATAGTCAAAACCCTTGAATTTTTAATTTAGTCAGTATTTAAGCTTCTAATTCGCTAGGTGCAAAATGTGCAGATGAGCAAGACCAGTGGAAAAACTGAGACTTATTTTGGTAGTTTACTATGAGTTTCTCTTATTGTCATGTATAAATTATTAGCCAAATGTTCTTGCCTTCCTTTCCATTAGTCAGATTTTTTATACCTCAGCTATTGGAAATGGTACTGATGGTTTCCTGGGAAGTCAGTGTCTTCCATAGATAACCCAGAATGCTACAATGGCTGTTATGCCATTGGCATCCTTTTTACCTTTGACTCCAGTATGCTTCTAGGATCTGTGCTGGAATTCGTTATCAAGTAGGTAGCCCCCAACCTATGAAGCCAAATTCCTCATTCCTACTCTCACTTCTTTTACCTTTTTCATACCTTTTCTTCATTTGTTGGTGAGCTCAGTGGCAGCTATCAGTAACAATCAGATTCTTGCACTACTTATACATGATTCCAGATGACACTGTTGCCAGTGCCCATGTTGAGTTGAATAAAATGTTTTCCTTTCCTCTTCCTGTCTTAAATCTTTTAATTAGTAATATTGGATCCTTCTCGCTTCCAAAGTCATCAGTGTTTGCTTCAGTAAGCTCTGTTGAATAAAATATGTTATGTATAACCCACAATAGAATTCAGTAGCAGTTTCTTGCTGCTCAATGATCTCTTCATTAATCGTATTTATAATCAAATATAAATGCTAAGGAAGAAAAACACATGTTGATCTGTACTGGATCCTATCTGCATAAGCCTCTTTCAAAGATTTAAATTCTAGATAAACCATCTTGCTGCTAGATGGTAGCTAATTCCACATATCTCTTCAATTTTGGTACTTACATTCCTCCTTATCAGAATCATTGCAAGTTACAATGTTTTTTTGTAACACAGTTATTCGTACTCAAAACTGGGTGGCTGTCCCAAGCTAATTCTACATAGTCAAACCACTGAACAAACAGCATGTGGTCAGAACTATGATGTGTTTTATTCTGGCTCATATTTGACCTGGAATCTGCAAGTGAAAGCGCTGTAGCTCAGTGCCAGCCCCTTAATATATTAGAATCTCTAATGATAAATTTAAAGAATTCTAATGCTTTCATTAGGTACCTTTCAGTCAATTTTCTGCTCACAACTTAATTAGTTCCAGCCTATAAAGATCAAGAAAAATGTATGCCTGTTTCTACTGAAGAGCTTTTAGAAAGACCTCATATTCCATCAAATAAGGAAATTTCTGTGCTTTCCCTAAAACTTCTAGCATGGACATCTTCAGCTGAGTCTGCTGCATTAAAACAGAGACCTGCTGCGTCTGGGTTTTCATGCTCTAAGCACTTACCTGTAATGGGCTTTCTTAAGGGCCATCTCTAATACCTTTATCAGAACAGTGGCAAATTCATCAGGAGCAGCAGAGAGCAGCAGCCTTATGGTGCTGACCGAGCATAATTGCAGGGTTTGACTGTGAACTGCTTTGAGTGAGGTTCGTTTCACATGCTTCTGATGCCTTGAGCACTGGTATTCATTCTTATGTTACTAATTAACTGGAGAAGCTACAGGTAACAAAAAAAAGATAAATTATATTTTAAAATACTCACAACATTGTTTTCCGTGTTTAGACTGCTGCTTGTGTAGCATTTTGCGCTGTCACTGTATTAATGTTGTCTTTGTGTTTTGTAATGTATGTATTTATTTTGACTTTCTTATTGTGAAATATCTTGGGATATTTTGAAAACCGAAACAATGAACAATGACCGTGTTCTGTGATCTTGACTGATGTATTTGTACTATGCAACCATTTGAAAAATAGATTTGGCATAACTCCTTTCCATATCTTGGCTAGGTTGCTGAGTATCCCTAAGAAAAAGATAAACCAAACCCTTTTTCCTAACAAAAACATTTTTCAGATAAGACAATATTTCAGATAAGACAATAAGACAATATTGGGCATAGGAGCTTATTAAAGAAAAAAACCTTTGATTCTTTTATACTTTATTTCAATAACAGTATAACAATTTTGGCAATCTTTAGAAACATCCAATCTTTTATATTTGTATTTTTTTCATGAATTGTGCATGATACATCAGTAAGTAGATTAGTGACTATCATACTAACATAATACAACTTTTGGTGGTGACAGGAGCTTCTGAAAATGGAAGCTTTGCTATCCCAAGTTCTCCTTATGAAAATTTTCTGTAAATGCTAACTTGATCGGTCATTATTATGAGTTCATTTGCAAGTGAATTGTGAATGTGGAAGTTAGATTATGAGTGCTCCCATAGGAATTTTTAGTGGTGTCACAGTGTTTTATAAATCATTAGGCAGATCTGAACATAAAAAGAGAATGGTTAAGGTTTTTGCCTCCCATTTTGTTTTATTTTTCCCCGTTGTAATTTGTCTAAGTAAAAGATTATGGGAAACGTCACAGCACCACGATCAGTTGTATCAGATCATTAAGTTTTTGAAATAAACTTTTAAATTAACCAGTTAGGAATTATGGGGTGGGAGGTGAGAGTGGTCTCCAGAATTGCAGTGTTATAGCCCCACTGACCAAACATGAAGGCCACTATGAAAGAAGAGATCAAAGAAAAGTTTTTTCAAAAGAAATCCCCAAACCGGTAATTTCTACATTATTTTGGACTACCAGTTTCCAGGAAAAGCCAATGAATTTGTGATTACTCTGTTGGTGACATCACTGAAAATTCAAAACTCTTCTTATTGTAATTAAAGTAATATGTTAGAGCCTCTCTAGGCGCCTGAAAATTCAAAACTCTTCTTATTGTAAGTAATGTGTTAGAGCCTCTCTAGGCACTGGGATTCTGAAAGGTTTCTCCTGCTTTGCAGACAGAGCACATCCCTCCCTATGATGTAGTGCCTTCCATGCGACCAGTAGTTTTAGTGGGGCCTTCTCTGAAGGGGTATGAGGTAAGCAAGCGTTGTACACGTTTTTATTTTGCCAAAACAAAGTGGTTTGGCTTCATTTATGTTTTCATGTTGAGTCAGTCAAACTGAAAAACAATTAATGTCATGGACAAAAATAGAGATGGTTTATACAGAATTTAGGTCAAGAATAACTTACTTTTCTGCCATATTGTTCAGTTATAAGATTTCTATCAACATGAAACACAATATTTTTTTTCTAATTTATTACAATCAGATATTATTTGTTTCTCATGTGATTATTAATTTGTTGCTTGTTTGCTTTTAGGTAACAGATATGATGCAAAAAGCATTGTTTGATTTTTTAAAACATAGATTTGAAGGGCGGTAAGTACACTGTAATGGAATTTTTTTAAATTCAGATCTTATTTTCATAATAATGATATTCTTAGCAAAATGTCCGTAGAATATTAGCAGCATCAGGTAGTGTGTCCTGCTCCATGGACTGTAGTATAGATTGAAAGTTTCATTATCAGAGCTCACAGACGCTGTGTTGCAATGCAGAATCTTAAGGAGCATACACTTAATGCAAGTGGAAAAAGGGATGTCTTCTTGTTGCTGGCTGTCACATTCAGTTGCCAAATTGCTAATTATTTATTTACAGGTTTATTAAATGTGAACTGGAGTAAAGATTCTCTTGTTTAAAAGTTGCATAAGTAGTATTTTGTGAGTATTCTTTGGGTTTTTTACAAGGTAATGAGAGCTGTATTTCCTTCTCAGCTTCAGTAGTTTACAATAGAAAACTAGTAAAATAGTAGCAGGAAGTCTCCATGGGACTCCTGGGGGGATCAGTTTGTTTTTCCCCTCTCACCAAAGGACAGTAGCCCTTGATAACAGACAGGCTGTGACTTTGTGGCTGTCCTCACAGCATAAGAGATAGTCTAAACATGGCCCCATGTCCTTAAACATGTTGGCACAGTAAGTAGCATCCAGCCTTCAATGTGATTTATGTTTGAGTCTCCTGGCATTACGGTACCGTTTTGAATGGTAAACCACCTCTAAAAGCAGTGGGATATGTTGTTGTTTAAACAGCAAGTACTCATTCACCAAAGACAGCAAGTGGATTCTCCACGTGTTTTTAAACTGTTGCTGGATCAGTCCCTAAATTAATATATACTAACAGATTGGCATATGGAAAATTAAAAAAAAAAATAAAAATAAAAAATATCTATCCATAGAACCCCTTTTTTTTGGAGAGCAGACTTGCTCTTCCTCATGTTATGTGTCTTAAAAGACTTTAAATGACATTAAAAAGACCTAAAAGTTCTTAATATTAAAAATACAATTTTAGTATGGTAAATCTAGCTTCATTCAATATTGCGTAATGGCATTTGGAAAATAAAAAAGGGATTCTTTTTCTCTATCATGTAAAAAGGTAATTTGCAGTAAAAAAATGGGTAGTTTGTATTGCTCATCTATGAGTAGATAAAGATAAATAATGACTATCCCAATTATATGTTGGATTTCGTTTTAAGACTGTATAGAATTATGTTGGAGGAGCTCTGCCAGAAATCCTAATGCTTGGTTATGTTTTTAACTGAAGCTTACATTTCAAAATTATGTTACTAAGCTGTACTGTCCACGTAATTCTGTTTTTCTTTATTAAATTCTGGCTTTGTTGCATTTTATAGGATTTTAGATAAATATAGACACATGTTCAGCTCACTAGGAGATGAGCTATTTGGTTACATTTCAGATGAGCAGCATCTGGCAGCTCTTCCTAGAAAAGAGCTCTCCTTGTTAGCAAAGCCATTTCCTCCTTTTAAATTGCAAGCAAAATCATACAAAGAAGAACAAGGGATATCATCAGGCTGATTTAACTCTCAACACTGGAAAAATGTGACTTTTAAACCTTATTAAGGAGTAAGTTGGAAGGGGAACTTAGCCAAAGGGTAGAGCTTGACCCTGGAAAGGAAAACCAGCTGAGCTAACGACTTTGCTAGGAAGAAGAATATGCAGAAGGTTATGTAGCAGGTCAGCGCAGACAGCTGGAAGAAAGCACTTATTTCTTGGCTCATCTTTTCTCATAAAAACAAAACTGATTGTACCAGATACTCAGCACAGAGCTTTCATATTTTTTTTCCTGTATTTGCTTCTCTGTGTTACAGGCCACATTTTGAGGTGGTCAGCGTATCACTGGATCTTTCTGGATAATTATATAACAGAGCTCTTGCACTCTGCTGGAGAACTTATGCTTGGAAATAGAATCATAAAAATAAGAGTTATGTGGCAGTACTACTTCGAATGTTAAGCCTTTCCTTCACCTGTCAACACTGTGCATCTCATGATGTTTGTTGTAAATACAGTTGAAATCAGCCATGTTGTCATTGAATACTTTGGAAAAAAAAACAATCAAAACAAGGAAAAGAAGAATTTAGTCCAACTCTTTTATTCGCTTTGTGCAAAGCATACTTTGCCACTGGGAAATTATTTTCCCATAATCCTAGCCATCTTTTAGTATTAGGTGTTTCTCTTTTCTCCTCATCTCCTGGCATGGCAAATAACATACTCTTCTATTTTATTTTACTTTATTTTGCAGTATATCAATTACACGAGTCACAGCAGACATCTCACTTGCCAAACGCTCAGTATTAAACAACCCCAGTAAGCATGCGATAATAGAGCGATCTAACACAAGATCAAGCTTAGGTAAGTACATTTAATGATGATATCTCCAAATTCTCTGTAAAGTACATTGCTCTCAATTCATATCTGTAACCTAAAAATAGCCTTCTCTCTGCAGTGAGAAAATCACGGTTCCCAGAATTCAGAAACCCTGGCAATAGAAGCCATTTTTAAACCATTACCAGATAAACTTCATATAGTATTGATTTGGGCTTAGCTGGCTTATGTTAAGTTTTCGTATTTTGCCATTTCCTGCAGTGGGAAGAAGTAGCAAAGGCAAATAAAAATCTGAGGAGATATTCCTCTGTTTAAGTAAAAATTAAGGTTTCCATATACCTCAAATTGTGTGAATTTGTTTAAGACCAACAGAATATTATTTCTAATACTACTGAGTTCATCTGTTATCTCAAAATAAACACAAAAAAGACATTGGGATCACCATCCACGTGGACTGAATTCTTCATTTTCTCTAGCGTGAAGTGAATTTTATGTGGGTCTCTATAGCATAATGTCCTGGTGCCATTAGCCGAAGTTTGCCAGGATGCATCCTGCCAGTCTGCAGGCTCAGGCTGGGCACTCAGCTGGGACACAGGACCCACAAGTGCCTGCACAAATAAGAAGAAAGAGGAACTTGAACCCAAACATCCTAAATCATAGGTGAATTCTCCAGGCAGGGTTTTGGTATTGCACGAATGTTTCTTTCTCTGAGATGGCTTTGTGAGACATTGATTTGATCTTGGCTCAGGAATATATTTTGAAATTTGAGGAACAGGAAAATTCACATTCACTCTAGAGAAAGGGTCTTTATTTATATAATTTTTGTTTATAGTTAAACTAGTGAATAAATCTGTATTTTTACTGAATTTTTAACATTTGCATAAAGTAGTTGTCAGCATTAGAATGTTCTACTCTTATGTTAAAAAGTTTGACTTCCGTACCTTGAATACTTGCTTCTGAAAATGCTTGTTTCCAGCTTTGAATCTTTGCTTAAAAGCAATCTGATGACTTTCATATAGATCTTGGTTTGACCTTTTTCATATGTTAGAATGTAATGTACTGTAAAATAAAAAGGTACATTTTTATATAAAAGATATTCTTTTATGTGAATTTCAGTCCTGTAATCGAAGTCAGTTTAATAATCTGGAGAAAAAGATGAAGTATTATTTATTTTGACTAGAATTGAAAATTGATAATGAAGATGGAGGTCATCCAGTCATGGAACATAAACAGACCCATGGTGATTAATTTCCCATCGAGAACATCAAAGCAAGAGGTTACAGTACTCTATATACAGCAGAAAAAAAGTATATAATCTGTTCACCATGCTGGAATATTTTCATATATGTAAAACAACTGTCACAAAAATATATAGAGAGGGAAAAAAACCTATAAAATAAATAAATTCAGCCCAGTTGTTTATAGAAGCAAGTCATCATTTTTTCACTGTGAAATGTTTGCTTGCATCTCATGGAAACTTTGGCCTTTCACACAGCAATGCCTTTTCTTTGGTCAAGTTTTTTTTTTTTTTTTTTGGATGAAGCTATTTAAAATGAGCATGCCAACAGGATCTCAATTGCAGAATCAAAAAATGTTGTGTTTATTTGAGTTTATTTGAGATAAATATGAGTATATATCCATTATAGCTGAGGACTGTTGCTAGTATTACATGAAATTTCTTGTTGTAAGTCTTCTTTTTTTTCAAAGCTCTAGTACTGCCATCGTACTCATGCTCTAGCAGGGTTTTGGAATGTGGTAGTGAGCTGAATTGCATTGAATTATGCACTTTTCAGATTTTTATGAAAACAGAAAGCTTAAGCAAATAATTATAAGCCTTACTACAAGTTGCAATTAAAATGTGAGCTTTGTAGCTGAATTCCTTAAAAATTCTGCTACCACTGGGCAAATCCCATTAATGTTGCTGAGCAAAACTTGCCTGCAGCAGTTTGGATCAGGGCAGCAGGACAGAACTAAAAGCTAGAAAGTGCTCATCTTCCATCCTTTGATCCATACTTCCTTGGGCAGTGTGGAGTAAGAGGGGGTTTAATTTAAAGATGTTCCAATGGGGAAATAGATGGAGGAAAAGCAAAAGGAAGGAAAAGGAGCAGGAGGTTTAAAAAAAAAAAAAAAAAAAAAGGCATTGTAGAGGAAGATCTGGGAAAGCCAGACTGGCTGGAGAAGCACCTTGAAGCTCTGGGCCTCCAGACTGAGAATGAGACCATGGAAGAACAAAAACTAGCTAGGAAGGAAATCAGGGAGGAAAATGAGGCGGGAGCAGAGGATTGGGGCGTAAAACCAAGAGAGGGCAAAGAATCTGGGAGGCAGAAAAGGGAACTTGGTTAGGTATGGAACCTGGAAAACCCTGTGCAAGGGTAACAAGAAAGAAAATCCAAGGAGCACTGGAGTCTATTCCCATGCAGAGCTGGGATGTATGTCAAGGTAACAGTAGAGGCAGAATTAGAAAATGCCACTCTAGTCTGCTGGTCGGTGTCATCTCCTAGCACTGCTTTCACAAATCAGATGACAACAGAGTGCTGCTCCTGTGTGCTCTTACACAGCAGAGATAAGAGGCAATAGCACACCCCATAGTGACATTTTTATTGAATTGTGTGAGCAATTTGCTATATTCATGAGTCAACAAAGGTGCTGCTAAAGAATATTGTTAGGATTGCAAAATGAAGTTGTGCAATATAAATGTTAGAAAACAACAGAATAAAGGTTAACGGTGGAAATTATGCAGTACCTCAGCTGATGTACGTTGTGATTCAGTCTTTGATTAGATGTTTGCAGACTATTGTGCTACTAGTCCTCTGGTTCAGTGTGTTTTTTTGCAAAATGGACCTACTCATGATGCAATTGGAATTGCTCAGTGAAGGAGGTCAGTATCTGCTTTGCATGCTAAAAATAGTGTACATTGTGTGAGGCAAGAGATTTCAGGAAGGCCAAAGAAAAAAGGCACCATATGAGATTTTCAATTTAGTTTTTTTGTCAGAAAAAAAAAATGTTTTCATGGTTTTTTTTTATGGCATACACGTGGTTTATAGCCCTACAAAGTACTGTGGCTGCAACTGAGATTTTGGACTTTGAACCTGTTAAATGATGAACATAGATGTTCTGACTGCATGTTTTCTTGTCAAATAATAATGGTTCATCAAAATTGTCATGTTGCATGCAAAGCAATGATTTTTTTTGAAAGTGCAGGTGGAAACCCAGCAGTTTAGGCTATTGGAGCGAATGTTATGTACCTTGAAAATGCCAAGCTCATGGGTTTTCATTTGCAGAATTCCTCTCATTTTAGACTCTGCTCCTCTGGTCATTTAACTGAGGAGATTTTCCTTTCTTTGCCAAACTAGATCAACTTCTCTCAGGATGCAACTGACACCACATGCTGATAGTACACAGAAGCATCAGGAATGTACTGAGTCATAACACTCACTTTTAAAATGCTTCAAGGTTACCTTCCATTTTGGAAGCAGCAGAATTCCTAGGACCCAGAACTTTCTGTAGGATGGCTGCTGATTTTCTAGTCTGAAAATAATTTTTGTTATAGCACTTACTCTGAAAAATCATGCTGTGCATTTCTGAAAATTAACACTCCAAATTAGTGATTATTGCCTAGGTGGTTCAATTATCTATCCGGAAAATAAAAATAATTCCAGATTCTCACCTGAGTGAAACATTGTCTTATTAGAACACTGTAATACCATTACAGCGAGTTCCAGAGGAAAAACAAATCCTCAAAAGAAATCATTTTTTCTCAGAGAGGGTTTGGAACAATGTGCTGTAAATGAGCCATGAACCATATATTTGACAATGAAAAGCATGTAAATGATTCAGTAGCTGTTTATGTGTAGACAGTGCATGGAGTTATGCACTGATTGAGGCAGCAGGCCTACAGAAACAGTATTACTGTGTATTCCTGAGAATAGTGTCTCAAAATACAGACCCCAAAATTTGATTTACAACAGCTATCGTTCTACCTTGGCATTTTCTAATGTCTAAGCATTAGCTTTGCAGACAAATAACATTTTCCTTTAATATAAGTTTCAGTCGTAGATGCATCACTGAGCATTGACTCTGGCTACCTGTGCTTTTCCAGGATCTACTGCAGGCCTGATGAGCAGTTGTTTCTCTGATGAAGTTTTCTCATTCATAAAATAAGAGCAACAGGACCTTTTCTCCAAATTACTGCAAATAAAAGTCAGAATTTCAGCAGTCACTAAAACTATTGCTTCTTTTTCTCCAGTTTATCTACAGGACTTAGTTCTGATCCTGTTGTATAGAAATAGTATTTATCACACAAAGAATATTTTAAATTAAAAAAATCACTTTTTTGATACAAACATGTTCAGTTTAAGATTTAATACTTGTTTACAGATATATCTTTGAGCCAGAAAGCTTTGTTACAGACATATCGATGGGATCATTCTAACCAAAACTATTTATAAATTATAGTGAATTTTGACAAATAGATTCAGCCAGAGCAAGAAATTAAGAAATGGTTCTTTATTTTATTGAGTACAGCTCCCCAGCTTTATGTTAATTGAAATCACTCTGCCTTTCTGAGTTCAATGAATAGTAATTCCTTTATCCTTCTACTTTGTGTATCATGTTTTTGCAAAACATCTAGACAGTCAACTGACTTGATTTTTGCCTAAATTGTGCTCACTTTTCTAATCAGTAATTGTATCTGCAGCAGAGAAGGCTATTTCTTAGACCATTGAAAATATGTCCTTTGTGGGTGTGTGTGTGTGTGTGTGTGTGTGTGTGTAAGTATTATTTTAATAAGTGGCCCTTGGTATATCAGTGAGTTAATATGATAACAAAGCTAATGTGCTTGATATATTTGCACTGAATACTTTTCTCAGTGAAGGAATTGGAAGAAAAGGAATTCCCTTTACTTATCAGCCAATATAGGTTTGCAGTACTGTGCATATAGTTCATAATCACAGAAAACACAAGGAATAGTTAAGGGAATTGTCATTATTGGGAACTTATTTAATAAATAGAATTAATTTCAAGGCGCA